CACGTTTGTGTTTGTCTGCATCTATTGCCAGGTTCGATGTGGATTTCACTGAAGTCCACAGTTATATGACTCGTGGTGAAGCCATTCTGCAGAGCCCTGAATTCTCTGTGACACGCAAAGACACCAGTATTCAGGAGCTACATGACAAAGTCCAGGTAAAAATTGTGTGTCTTATGTGCATATGTGTATATATGGATCTGTGTCTAAGTGTGCAATAGGACCTTGTTATTTCAGCATTTGAGTCATACCTGAGGGGGCATTTTGAACTGTGCTTACAAGGCAATGATAATGTACCTCATATGAGATGCAGCAAAGTGTCAGTAATGAGTGTGATGACATTTTGCAGACATTTTGGACCTTTTACTTATATGTGTCAGCTGACGACATTTTTATTCTGCAGAAGAAAATGCATGATATGAGTTTACACCTGTATCTAAGTGTTTTGTATAAGGATGAAACAAAACAAGAGGAAACAGGGTAAAAAGCCTGTTTTTCTTTGATAGTTAAAAAATACCCAAACAAACATATATTTTGTAATTTTGGTTAGTATGTTAATCTGGTTCAAACTTTACATTTTACCAGTAGGCATTTGGATTTGAAAGCTACACAAAGTATCCAAGTTTGTTGTTTACATTGTTTTAATTTGATATTTTTGGCAACTAAGTGTAAAGAAAAACATTTTATAAACACAACACTGACAACAGTTTAACCTTTGCAGGGCTGCTTGCAAACACTTGATAAACATGATGTATTAAGTCCATAGTCACTTTTTGTGTTCTTTACTAATTCCTGAGCAATAAATCAGTGCACATTAATCATCCTTATTCTTTCATCTATCACTTAGATCTACACTACCAGGCAAAAGTTTTAGAACACCCTAATTTTTACAGTTTATTGTAATTCAAGTCATTCACGTCCAATGAACAGCTTGAAATTGTGCAAAGGTAACTGGTGAACTGCCAGAAATTCAAAATAAAGGTAAGGTTACCCAAAACTGAAAAATAATGTACATTTCAGAATTATTCAAAAAAGCCTTTTGCAGTGCTCTGCTGCCATCTAGAAGGCAAATGAGGAGCTGGGAGCGTGGCTCACTAAGGTATATAAGTCCAGCCTGCCTGGAAGATTGAAAGCCTGGATCTACCAGTATTTCATCCTCCCACGAATCCTGTGGCCTCTGCTTGTCTGCACAGTTCCAATAAATAATGTGGGATCCCTTGAAAGGAAGATCAGTGGCTTTCTTCGTAAGTGCCTGAGTCTTCCCCACAGACTCACCAGTAGTGCCTTGTATGGGGCAAGACGCCCCACAGTATAGAGATTCCAAAGACTGCAAGATGACATCAGCAGGCATCAAGGTAAGGAGAGGAAGAAAGTGGAAGGCCGAGAAGGCAGTTGAGGTGGCAGAGTCACGCCTAAGGCAAAAGAAACTGGTCAGGCAAAAGACACCCTCCCTGTCTTAGCAACAGGGGGAGCAGGCTTGGGGTACTTCCCAAAGGCCCAGGTCAGCAGGGCACAGAGAAAGGAGAGACACCAGCTACTCGATTAAGAGGTCCACGCAGGTGAGGAGGACGAGCAAATAAGCAGGGCCACAGGCCTCAGGCGGCAGGGAGCATGGACACAGTGGGAGAGTACCTTGCAGCGCAAGGTCACAGGGGCAAACATCATGCAGGCAGTATACATGTGTAGGGGAAGAGCGAGACACCTGCCTGTTCCCTGTGCTCTGGAAGAGGCTCCCTGGAACACCTCCTCAGCAGCTGCCCAAAGGCCCTGGCCGATGGTCGGTATCGTTGGCGACACGACCAGATGCTCAGAGTAGTACCTGAGAAGATTGCCTCAGCAATCAGCACCAGTGAACACCATCGCGCTCCAAAGAAGGCAATCTCTTTCATTAAGGCTAGAGAGAAACCCCAGGTGCACCCACATTTAACAACCGGCCTCCTCAACACAGCCTCTGATTGGGAGCTACAGGCTGACCTGGGTAAACAGCTAAACTTCCCACAGCACATTGTAAAAACATCTCTCTGGACAGACATGATCATTATTTCTGAGGCCCCAAAACATCTGCTCATGCTGGAACTCACAGTGCCCTGGGAAGAGCGGATCAAGGAGGCCAACGAGAGGAAACGTGCCAAGTACCAGGACCTAGTGCAGGAGTGCAGGGGAAGGGGCACCCTGCAAAGTCCTTGGCCGGCTGGGTGTGGCTGGGGCAGCCAAGAAGAGGACCATCGAGGTTGTGAGTGAAGCGGCAGAGAAAGCCACAAGATGGCTGTGGATTAAGAGGGCTGATCCATGGGTAGCTACTGGTCAGTCAGGGCCTGATCACCCCTGGCTGGGTCGCATGGGCGAGGGTGTATTATGTTGCGAGACCCGAAATACCTGATGACCCCAGGATACATAACTGAAGATGCGTGCCAGTGCATCCAGGAGATGTTTCTTGTATAGTTCAGGGAAAATGGGTTAACAATTTAAAGCTGTTCTGCAGCAACAGAGGTTGATCAAGCCTTGAAAGCTGGTGCTACTAATTCCTACAGCTGTTCCAACTTTGTGGATTACTTCCCCCTCTGTCTGCTAAAGCAGTGTTGGAACACACGGTGGTACCATACCCTGGTGAGCATCAGTTGAACAACATTGTACTGCAAAAGGTAGTGTGTTGGTACAAACATGGTGAGAAAAAACAGTGGAACAGACACAGACCATCATAACACTTATAAATGTCGGTCTGTCCTACAGAGAAACTGCAAAGAAAGTCAAGGTGTCAGTGAGTCCAGTTTCCTTCAGCATCAAAGGCTCAGAAACTGTGACAGGAGGAGGTCTGCAGACCCAAAGACACGACTGACTCAGAGGACAAGTTTCTGAGAGTTAACAGCTGTGTGATGGCGGCTCACAGGACAACAGCTTCAAGCAGCTTCATAGTGGTCGTAGTGAGAAAGTCTCAGTTTCAGCTGTGAAGAGAAAACTTCAAGCTGCAGGTTTGACAGGACAAGTTGCAGCGAGAAAGCCAGATGTCAGAATAACACAAAGAGGCTCGTCTGGGCCATGAAACACCGACAGTGGACTACTGAAGACTGGAGGAAGGTATTATGGACTGATGAATTGATTCATCCCCGTCCAACCCCAAGCAGCACGTCACACAATTAATACTTTGTGACAGTGATTTATTTACAATGAGTGCGGTTAAACAAAGGAAGGGAGCATATCATAACTTCAGGGTGAACCCAAGGCCAAAACAACAAACAAAGGGTAACCTATCTCAGGAATAAATACAACTTACCTACTCAAAAGAACTAACTCAAACGACAATCACTTTCCTCCCTGCCTAACAAAAACAGGAGAAAACTGATCAAACAAAAAGGCGGTCCACCCCTACATGCTCTTACATTAACCAACATAGTGGATGTTGGTTAATGTTGGTTAATGTTAATGCCAGTTGGGTTCACTGCCCAACCCAACCGGCAGTGAACGGTCTGCCGGTTGGGTTGGGCCGAGGATGAATGACCTGGCAGTCCCGGGCGGTTTCTTCATATCCGCTGCCTCCCGGTCCTTAGCCAATCGGTGCGATCCATCCACCCTGGATGCACCAATCACGGAGGAGCACCTGCACACTCAAATTTACATATAATTACGACAACAGTCGTAACAGTACGTTGTTGAGTAGGTGAAAGGACTGTTCCACAGTATGTGACATCCTGAAGAGGAAATGTGATGGTCTGGAGCTGTTTTGCTGGATCCAGGGTCGGTGACTTGTACAGAGTGAGAGGCCCCCTGAACCAAAACGACTACCACAGCATTCAGCAGCACCATGCAATATCTTCTGGTATGAGGCTAGTTGGTCAGGGGTTCATCCTACAGCAAGATAATAACCCAAAACATAAGTACAAGCTGTGCCAGAACTACCTCAGGAAAAAGAACAAGATGGTGAGCTTGAAAACATGGAGTCCAGCACAGCCTCCAGACTTAAACCCCGCCGAGCTGGTTTGGGATGAACTGGACAGAAGAGTGACAGCAAAGCAACCTACAAGGTCATTTATGGGAACTTCTTTCTACAATAGAAATCAAATATTCTCCCATATCTGTAGCAGAATGCCACATCTGTGTTCAGCTGTTATATCTGCCAAAGGTGGCTACTGATGAGTCAAATGTTTAGAATACATTTTGGTTTATAAACTGATTCCTTGTTTTTTAACTCCAATTACTTATTACAATTACTTATTTGTGCTATGCTTTCATTTCAGAGTGCAATGCGACATTAAACTGCATAATTTTTAATAAAAAACTGGAAAAAAAAATGGGGTTTTCTAAAACTGATAGTGTGTACATATTTAGAAATTCTTTGTGATTGTGTTTCATTTTTTTTTGGTTGGTTTAAAGGCTCTCTGTGTATGTACAGCCTAAAGGTTCAGTGGTGATCTGTCTATTATTGATACAGCATATGTGATGTGCTGAAACTCTCAGCTCACTTTTAGCCACTAAATGCTGCACAATGTTTACCAGCTTGTGCTTCGTGTTAGCTCTGCGGTGTACCCCTGCCTCTCATCTTATAATAGCTGAGATAGACTCCAGCCCAACCTTGATAAGGACAAACAGAATTCAATTCAATTCAATTTGTATAGCGCCAAATCACAACAACAGTCACCTCAAGGTAGACCCTACAATCATACATACAGAGAAAACCTCAACAATCATATGACCTCCTATGAGCAAACACTTTGACAACAGTGGGAAGGAAAAACTCCCTTTTAACAGGAAGAAACCTCCAACCAGCACACCAGCACAACCAGGCTCAGGGAGGAGCGGGGCCATCTGCTGCAACCGATTGGGGTGAGAGAAGGAAGACAGGATTAAGACATGCTGTGGAAGAGAGACAGAGATTAATAACGAGTACGATTTGTCAGGGCTCTGTGTACGGGCAGGCGGAGATGAGCATCCAAACGCAGGACTCGGAGACTTAGCAGGATTTTGAATTCTGGATTTAACAGGAAGCCAAAACAGGAGAAATCTGCTCTCTCTTTCTAGTCCCTGTCAGGACTCTTGCTGCAGCATTTTGGATTAGCTGAAGGCTTTTCAGGGTTGTTTTTAGGACATCCTGATAATAATGATTTAAAGTAGTCCAGCCTGGAAGTAATAAGACAGGATATTTCTAATTTTAGAGATGTTGCACATATGGAAGAAGGCAGTCCTACATATTTGTTTAATATGTGCATTGAAGGATATGTCCTGGTCAAAAATGACTCCAAGATTCCTGGAGGCCATCCACAGTAAGAATATGGTGGTTAGATACCATATTTCTAAGATTTTCAGCACAATAACCTCAGTTTTATCTGAATTTTAACTACAGCCAGATTGAAGGCCTGTGGTTTCAGTTTCAGTTTTCAGTTTTATTTGTCATATGCAAGTTAGCACAGGGTCAACATTGCAATGAAATGTGTTTGACGAGCAGCAGTCACTCAGCAGCATGATACAGTAGGAGAAAATATAATAAAATAAAATAAAATAGAAAAATAGTAAGTAGCAAAATATTAGAGAGACATGGTAAAAGAGAAAAGATGACTGAATATATATGTATCTATAAATATAAATATATGTACACTAGTGATTAAATAAGAAAATCTTGAAAAGAAATATGACGGGAGGGCAGATGGGATATTGCACAGGAATGAGCAGCAGAAAATTACAGTATTGCACTTT